ACTTGATCCCGTGTTTGATTCCCCATCCAGTGTCGGTGTTTTGTCATTTTTCTCTCAAATCATGGCCGAATTTAAATTCAGAACATTGTCCGTGTCCGCCAGCAATATGTTGAATAATATGCTTTGGCGCGATGGTCAGAGCTCCGGTTCCACATCCGCACGTCCAGAGTTCTAATCCCAGGACTGTTTTATGCTTTATTTTTGTTTAATTCCTTTCTTCCTTCAAATCTCTTCCATTTATTTTGGTCCCAAACTTCCATGTTTATTTTCCGTTCTTGAAATTGTTCTCAATGCGTCCAAATGGCCTCAAAATACCTGCAAAACATATAAAACCAAGCATAGGACTGCTCTCCCAAAATAAAACGGAAAATTGAAATAAAATATAAATATTAAATTCAATTGGGACTCAAAACTCCTTCAAAATATGTCTAAAAAGTGTATAAAATATGTGCATATCACACCACAAGAAATTCCGACACGGGATTTGGATATACGGATTAGTGTAACCTGCTTGTCCCTATACTACTCGTTTCGCAACAACCAAACAAGGACTAGAGAGCATCGATACTAGTGATACCTACTAGGGGAGTCAAACTCTCCATTCAAATCATAAATAAATGAAAATTCCTTGAGTTAATACTCATTTTAGTCCTTGTAAGTGCACTCACGAGTCAATTTGGTGTGTGTAAGTTTTATTTAGTCAAATTAGTCCCTGTAACTTAGAAATATGAATCAAATTAGTTCTTTATGCAAAATTAATCTTCTAAAATTCAAAGTTAACACGATAATTGACACAAAAAACTAATAGACGAGATCATTGATCTTGCATCAATTAATGTGATAACTCAGAATTTTAGGAGATAAATTCTGTTTGAAAGACTAACTTGATTTACATTTTTTATGTATAGGGACTAATTTGACTCAAATGAACTTACAGGGACGAAATTGAGTTTTGAGTACACTTAGAGGGACCAAAATGCATGAGTATTAACTCAAGTTCTTTTTATTGCTACGGTGATTCCAACTCAAAATTTTCTACAAGAAGAGAATCTTAAGTGTTTCCATCGAACTACTACAACTCTATTGAAAAATTGTACATTTTACACTCTCTGACAATTAGAAGATGGGGGAGAGAAAGAGAGATGGAAATGGGGAGAAAAATATGAAAGAATGAAATTGGATAGAACGAACAGAGTGAAACTCGACAAGGAATATTGGATAAATATTACGGGTGATGGGTGTATTTCACCCATGACCGGTCAGAGATTAGAGCCAGATAGTCGGCCGGTCAAAAAGGTCGAACTTGAGAGAAAGGTCCATATTGGCGGCAAAGAGACGACGAGTCGACCGCAAAGTTGACCGGTATACTTCGGATAGTATACCGGTCAACTTACTTAAGTCTGTGGAACCAATTTCCGAAGTCCATTAATCAACCCACGATGACCAGCCGGGGTAGTATTTCAAGGTCGACGAGTGTCGGCAGGAAGGATCCAAAATGACTTGGACTGTAGTTGTAACACCCTAATCCGTCCAGGTTTACAACCCCTTCCGAACTAAAGTATTAACTTGGTAATCGTATAATTTAAAACATTTCAAATAACTTTATTCATCATAAATGAAATTACACACATAATTGTAGTAAATACGGAGTGTTTAATGCGGAAGCGATTTTTAAACATGATTCATAATAACATAATCATTTATTTTCTCAATAAATCCACCATGACTGTCTCGCCCCTTCCTCTGCCAAGAACATGCCATTCACTCATTCTGTCTACCTGCGTGTAGCAAATAAAACATACTACACGCTCAGCGATGAAGCTGAGTAAGCATATCTAAAGCGTCGAACATCCAAATAAATTGAATCTCAATTCATAATCAACCATTTGATATCATGCACACAATATATGATTCAAACATTCATGATATTCTCAATATTTTATTCCAAGTCATTCGATATTCAATATCTCAACCATGCTCTTAAATTATTCTTAATCTAAGGCCAAATCATTTTATAACAAGCTCTTAGCTATTCCTAGTCTAAGGCAACATTTCTAACCAGGCCCTTAAACTATAAATAGTTTAATGCAGAACACAAGAATCGATAATCCACCCTATGAGTCATGTGGATTACGTACCAACCGAACAATGATTTGTCGGGTGGGTGATATCCGGAGTGGTGAAGGAGGCGCCGTTCGCACAGTGTCCCTGATTGGGACCAATTTTGGTTCCAGTCGGGGTACACTTTTTGGTCCAACTTTCTCCGAATTGAATTCCGTTTACACCGTTGCGATCAGACAGTCGAGCTCTATCCAACGATATATTTTTCATAATTATTTGTAATACTTTTTCCGACATCATATTTTTGAGTGTTTGACTTTAACAGAGTCAAAATTGGTTTAATTGACCTTTCTCATAAAAGGTTTTCTCATTTAATTCATATCAATTATTCTCATGATTTATTTCAATAAATCATTTCAAAGTTCACATCATAATTAATTAATTTATTTATTCTTGATTTGGGTCTGTACTCAGGTTCCCAATCAAGACCACACAAATAGTCCACATTTTGGATTTATCTCAATTAGACTTATCCAGATTTTGATATTGGATAAAAAAAATATTTCATATCAGCCCAAAGCCCAATAATAATCAAAACAAATTTGTTTGATCGAATAATTATTTAATAATAATTCTAGGGTATGTTTCGGGGCGTTACAGTAGTGGTTGGCATGGCTGAGATGCTGGAGGAATATTTCCAAGCCAGAACGCGACAAGGAGGGTAATCCCCCTCGCAAGATGACAAGGTGGCTCAGGGACAGTCATAGCACCACATCAGCAGCATGCCCCCACGTGGGTGCACGTGGTCCTGTCCCCCCAGCTTAGTATATATACCTCATGTAACCCTCGAGGAAGGGGAATTCATTCTCTCTAAACTCCCTTGTAAAAGCACCCGTGCATTCTCCGTTATAATATAAATTGGGCTACAGGTGTTCCACCTAAAGTCCTACCGGTCAATCTGCGCGTTTTTACCTTTCTTACTTTGCCAAATCAAGCAAATTATTCTAGATCCGGTCTAGTATAGTTTGACCGGTCAAGTAATTTACACCATCATTTTTAGCGCCACCCGTGGGACCGTTAAGGTTTCTCCTCTTCTAGACACAAACTACCCACAAAAACACCACTCGAAATGTCTTCCAGCCAATATATCAACGCTACTTCTGCCCAGGTGCAGGCCACCAATGAGGGTGCCAGCATCCCTGTAGCTGCTACCATACCGGTCATTTCAGCCCCGGTGTTGCCTCTGGGTCTGAGCTCTGTCCCGACGGCCAGCGTGATCAGTCCTTCGCAACCCCCGTCCCTTCCGCTGGACTGAGGGTAACGTTCCCACCAAGCATGACTCAGTTCATGAATGACCCAGCCAACCTACAAGCCATCCAGGGCTTTGGCCAGGTCATGGCCATGTGCCAACAGAATGGGGGGATGCCTTTTCTCCCTAGTATGTTCCCGTTCGCTCTTCCAGGCGCGGGGACCATGCCCCTACAAGCTCCGATGGCGGTGACGTCGTTCCAGACGCCGATGCCGCAGCCATCACCTTTCCAGCCCCAGCTGGTCAGCACCATGGCCCCTGTCAACTTGACTGGCGCACTTAATGCTGCGGGGCCGTCGCGTCCCCCGCAAGCTACAAATCCGCAGATCACTCCTGATGGTCATTGCGTCTCAATTGAGAGCGATGACGGAGAGTGGGACATCCCGAGGGCCCACAAGAAGAAGAAACGAAAAAACATCTGGCCAGCGACCTCCCGAAACTCCGCCTTCGAAAGGCTGGGGGATAGGGAGGAAGGCTAGAGGAAGTCAGCCAAGCAAAGGCGCGTTCGCCCGGCTAGGCGAGGTGCGGGAGGCCGAGCTTGCCCGCACCCGGCGCTCCCGGTCTAACCGGCAGGAGCCAGCGAGGACGAGGGCCTCCCACCAGGAAGAGGAGGCAGAAAGCCAGCCCAGGTTACCGGTGGCAAACCGGTTAACCATCCCGAACGACCGCGTCCAGCAGATGGAGGCAAAACTGGAAAGGCTGGAGAAGAAGGTCGGAGAGAAGAACGACCGGGTCAAACCCCTGGCGGGGTCCCCGTTCACCACAAGGGTCCATCTGACACCTTTCCCGCGAAAGGTCAAGATCGGCGCCCCCAGATTCACCGGGAAGGAAGATCCGGAAATCCATCTGGATTCCTTCAACCAGAGTGCGACCATGAACGGTTGCACCGATGAAGAAAAGTGCCTTCTTTTCTTCCAGACCTTGCGGAACCGAGCCACTGAATGGTTCAATAAGCTTCGCCCGGGAGGCATTGACTCGTTCAGTGATTTGGCCTCAAAATTCAAAGCCAAGTTCCAGGAGAATTGTACTAAGAGGAAGAAATTCACCTATCTTAGTACAGCCGGGCAGAGGGAGTCTGAGAACCTTACTCAGTTCCTTACCTGGTGGAAGGAAGAGGTAGACAAGGTGGAAGAGATGGATGACAAAACCGTCCTATCCCTCCTCTTGAATGGCTTGCGTGCTGGGGAAATATACAAGGAGTTCTGCCGGAAACCCCCAGCCACGTATCAAGAGGCCTACCACACCGCATGGGAGTTTGCTGAAGCTGAAACCCAGCTCCGGGCAAAGAGAGAAGCTGAGCATGGTCACAAGTCCAAGCCGGTGCAAGTCAAGAAGGAAGAAGCACCGGGACCTAGCCGGCCGAGGCACCACTATGACCCGGTCATCCGAGTGGTCAATACGGAAGAATGCCAAGAAATCCGGAAAGCACCGGTCATTCCTCCAGAAAACCCTACCGGTCAAACAGGGCGGCAATGGTCGGGTACCTATTGTTCGTACCACAGGTCAGATTCCCAAAACACCTCCGAATGCAAAAGTGTTAAGGGGGTCATCCGGCAGATGATCGACAAGGGAGAGCTGGGCAAGGATTACTTGCAGAAAGCCCAGGAGAAGAGTCATCAATGGGTTAGGACAGCTGCCCCGGGAGATGACCGAGACAACGACCGGCGGAGGAATAACCGGCCAAGGGAGCGGCAACCTGCTCCAGAAAAAGAGCACATCGGCATGATCTTCGGCGGACCCGAGGGTGGAGATTCAGCCGCACAACGGAAGAACTGGGTTCGGAGCATCTACGTTGGGGAGGTAAGTGCTGAACCGCCCAGGCGTAAACATACTAGGAGGGAGCCGATCGTCTTTACTGACCGGGATCTCCCTCCTACCGGTGAAGATCACAATGATCCATTGGTCATCACCATGGACATTAATGGGGTGGACGTCGCCCGGGTACTTGTTGACACCGGCAGCAGTGTCAACATCTTATACCTGGAGACTTTCCAAAAACTCAGGTTGTGTCGGACACAACTTGAACCCCTCAAAACCCCTCTCTCAGGCTTCACGGGAGACACCGTTGAAGCTGAAGGATCCATAGTTCTACCGGTCGAACTAGGATCAGGTGAAAAGACTGTGTGGAAGAAGATGCGGTTCATAGTTGTGGACATCAAATGCGTCCACAATGCAATTCTTGGAAGGCCAGGCATCAACAGAGTCGGGGCGGTGATTTCCATGCCTCATCTGTGCATGAAGTTCCACACTCCAGGTGGTGTGGGTGAGGTGAAGGGCGACCAGAGGAATGCCCGGGAATGCTATGCCCGGGCAGTCAAGAAGATGACTAAGGGGGTCAATGTCATCTCCCAAGAGATCACAAAGGGAGAGACCCGGGAGAAACTGGAGCCCGAGGCCGAGACGGTGGAAATAGAACTTCACCCGGGTGATTCTTCGAGGATGGTCAGAATTGGAGCAAATGTCCCCGAGGATCTCAAGGCACAGATTACACGGGTCCTCCAAGAATACGCGGGCATATTCGCATGGAGCGTGGCGGATATGCCCGGGATAGATCGCTCTGTTATTTGCCACCGATTGGCCGTGAGGGAGGGAAGTCGACCGGTACGACAGAAGAAGCGGTACCTGGCCAGTGACCGGCGAGACTTCGTCAAGAAGGAAGTGAAGGACCTCCTCAGTGTTGGTCACATCCGGGAAGTCAAATACCCGGATTGGCTGGCCAATCTTGTCCTTGCTCCCAAGGGCGACACGTGGAGAATGTGTGTGGATTATACGGACTTGAACAAAGCTTGTCCGATGGACTCATATCCCCTTCCCAGTCCAGATCAAATGGTGGACGAAACTGCGGGGTGCGAACTCCTTAGTTTCATGGATGCCTTCAAGGGTTATCACCAAATCTACATGGCCAAGAAAGATGAAGAGAAGACGTCATTCCTCACACCCGAAGGAACCTACTGCTACCGGGTAATGGCATTTGGCTTGAAGAACTCGGGGGAAACCTACCAGCGCATGGTGAACAAACTCTTCAAGCCACTACTGGGAAAGACCATGGAAGCATACGTCGACGACATGCTGATCAAAAGCCAGGTATCTCTCAACCACCCGGCTGATATGCGAGCCACGTTCGATATCATGGCAAAATACAACCTCCGGCTGAATCCTAAGAAATGCGTCTTCGCGGTTTATACCAGGAAGTTCTTGGGATTCATGGTAACCAAGAGAGGAATAGAGCCCAACCCATAAAAAATCCAGGCCATCACTGAAATGCAAGCCCCTACCTCCGTTAGGGATGTTCAAAAGTTGACCGGTCGCCTTGCGGCCCTCAGCCGGTTCCTTTCCCGTCAGCTGAGAGATCCTTGCCCTTCTTCAAAGTTCTGAAGAAGGCCAACGCATTTGCATGGGATGAAGAATGCCGGAGGGCATTTGAGGAGCTGAAAGAGTACCTAGCGTCGGATATTGTATTGTCTAAACCCGAACCGGGTGAAACTCTGTATCTGTACCTGGGAATTTCCCTAAATGCTGTAAGCTCCGTTTTAATAAGAGATGATGGGGCACAAAAGCCCATTTATTATGTGAGCAGAGCACTAAACGGGGCTGAGAGTAGATATACGGCGATGGAAAAGACAGCCTATGCGCTTTTCATCTCCGCAAAAAAGTTAACATCCCACTTCCAAGCTCACCCGGTAGAAGTCTTGACTGACCAACCGCTGGGTGCAGTATTGCGAAATTCAACATCCTCCGGGAGGATGGTGAAGTGGGCGATGATGTTAACTCAATTCCATATTGAGTACCGGCCAAGGTCGGCAATTAAGGGACAGGCCCTTGCTGACTTCCTAGTAGAAATGACCGGTCTAACTCCAGACTTACCGGTCAACTAGCCCACTGAGCAATGGTGGGAGATGGCAGTTGACAGGGCATCCGGTCCTAGAGGATACGGGGGTGGTATCGTGTTCACCACCCCAGAAGGGTTCAAGATCTACCATGCAATCGTTTTCAACTTCAAGCTGACGAACAATGAGGCAGAGTATGAAGCTCTGGCTGGAGGGCTCAGACTTGCCCAAGCCCTGAAAATCAGCCGGGTCAGTATCAAATCTGACTCTAGCCCGATAGTTGGGCAGGTGACCGGTAACATAGAAGCAAGGGAAGAACGCATGGCACAATATAGGGACCTTGTACTTGCCTTGTTGAAAGGCTTCGAAGAGTTCAAGATCGCCCAAATTCCCCGGGCAGATAACGCGGATGCAGACCTTCTCTCCAAATTGACGCAGTATGCTCCCGAGCATGTTTCAAAACTTGCCCGGGTAGAGATCCTTGACCGTGCAAGCATCGAAAAATTGGAAGTCGCTGCTATAACGGCCGGAAGCCAATTTGACCGGTCAAACTTGGTCGGGGCGGACGGCCATTGGATGTATGATCTGATGGAATATTTGATGGATGGGAGGTTGCCAGAACAAGATGACCAGGCAAGAAAAGTGAAGCTCGGGGCACCCCGATTCCAGGTTCTTGATGGAAAACTGTATAAAAGGGTATTTGGGGGGCCACTCCTGAGATGTCTAACCAATAGGGAGGCTGAACGAGTCATAGCGAAAGTCCACGAAGGCGTATGCGCGGCGCATCAAATGTCCCGTACGCTTTCCCAGCGCATCATCCTATTGGGGTATTACTGGCCAACAATCGTCCAGGATTGTGAAAGGTACGTTCAGAAATGCAGAACATGCCAAGTATTCTACAAGTATCCTGGTAGACCGGCGACCTACTATCACCCCGTATCAAACGTAATCCCGTTCGCTAGATTCGGGGTAGATATCATTAGAGCCTTCCTTGTCGCCCAAGGAGGGAAGAAATTCGTGATCGTAGCCATCGATTACTTCACCAAATGGATCGAGGCCGAAGCATTGGCCAACATTACCACGCAACAATGCAAGAAATTCATTTGGAAGAACATCATCACGAGGTTTGGAGCGCCCATGAACCTCATCACCGACAACGGCCCACAATTCCGAAATCCAAGGTTCACCGAATACTTGGAGGGCTTTAGAATCAAGCACAATCGCTCCTCGGTAGCGTACCCCCAGGGAAATGGCCAAGTCGAAAACGCCAACAGAACTATTGTAGATGGTTTGAAGAAACGGCTGGGAGAGGCAGGAAACAAGTGGCTGGAAGAACTTCCACACATCGTATGGGCATTCCGAGTAACACCCAGGAGGGCTCACGGGGAAACTCCATTCTCCCTAACCTACGGGTGTGAAGCAAGGCTGCCCATCGAAGCTGAATTCCCAACGTTCCGGGAATCAAATTACCAACCCCAATAAAATGAAGAAGACCACTTGGCCGAGCTCAACTTGGTCGAAGAACGAAGAATGGCCGCGGAAGTTAAAATGAGTACATACTAACAAGTTGTGAAGAAGTACCATGACAACAAGGTTGGGCCGCGGTACTTCCAAGTTGGGGATGAAGTCCTGCGAAGAAGAGAAGCAAGTAGACCCGGCGATGGAGGAAAGCTGGCAAAAAACTGGGAAGGCCCATACAGGGTTAGAGCCATCATTCGACCAGGAACGTATCGGTTAGAAACTTTAGATGGTGTACCGGTAGAAAGAACTTGGAATTCCCACCATCTTCGCAAGTTCTACAAATGATTGTAATACTAGGCAAGACCTAACTACATTATCAATCAAAGTGATGTTCAATACTCTACTTGGTGGCGGCAGAGTTGATACGTCGAACCTATCCTAGGAAGGCTTCCTGGGTGGATCGAATCCACTTGGATAAGCCAACTGAGACATAGGCCCGGACCTGGCACGCTGGTTACTACACCGGTCTTGCTCAGTATAATAATAATAAAAAAATATAAAACCCGGAAGAGGGGCCCGGAAGAGGGTATGCCTGCAAGAGGGCTGGACCTGGAAGAGGGTTCGAACCGTACTTACACGGGCCCATGAGGTTTGACTAGTGTCGGGGAATCAGCCGGCGCCGTCAAATTGATTGGGGACTAAAAGATGCCCATTAAAAGAAATAGAAGGGGATCGTCCACCGTGGCGCATCCTGTTTCCCCCTTCTCAGGGAAGACTTGAACGGGGGGGTGAGCTAAGGCCTTCTCGGGATGGTAGAAATCAAAGGGCCATTAAAAGACTTAATCACCCGGAAGAGGGGGCCCTGGAAGAAGGGTGCATTTGAACGTTGGAGAGGGTTCGAAACCATTCGACATGGTTAAATCTCCAGTATTCTTACTGGTTAAGGATACTTCAAGAATTACTAGGTTACGGGTGTTTCCATCTACAACCTACCGGTCAAGTAAAAAAAACCCCGGTTGGGTATGGGCACAACAGAACTTCGAAAGTTCCACAAGACAAGGCAGATGACCGGTCAGACCAGGGAAAGGCCAAAGTAAAGTTCGGCCGGTCAAACTTTTTAAGTTGGCCAAAATGATGAAGACGTTCGATAAGCGAAAACTGGAGTTTAACCGGTCAAAGTTACTCGGGCTGATCCTTGAAGTGAAGTGACCAGAGAGAACTTTGAAGTTCTACCGGTCGAACGCAATAGTGGTTGATTACTGTACCGGTCGAATATCCTATGATGGCGTTCTAAGAAGCAAGAGCAAAGTATCAATCAAGAAGCATGCAGATATGGAAGCTAAACCGGTATGGAAATTAAGCATTGCATTAAAGCAGAACAAAAAAGTTAAGTGTTTTACAGCTACACCGGGCATTCCCGGGGAAATGAGTTTGAAGTTTTACAAAATAATTCAACCGGTCGCAGCCGGGAAGATTACTCAAGAGGAAAAGGAGGTGCAGGTTCTTCGTCCGGGATGGGGGCAAGGTCGTATGAATCAGCGTCAAAATGCGGGTCCCGGTCAGCGAGGATCGCGTGGGTGGCCTCCCGGTCTCTTTTTTGGCCCGACATGAAACCGTAGGAGCCGATTTGGGTGATCATTTCCTTCCCATGGTCCTCCCGGTACAGAAGCTTGAAGCCCTCCATTGTTCTCTCCTTAGAGGAAGTAAGCACCCGGGCGGCCTCTACCAAGTTCTCCTCCATCCACTGTCTGGCCCGACCGGGCAGCTCTTGCTCCTTCACCCATGTCTCCTCCTTCAGGTGGGAGACCTCCCCCATCAACAGTGAGTTCTCCTCTTTCAGCTGGAGGACCTCCGCGTTCGCCCTACCGGCAACCGCCGAGAGGTTGGCCATCTCGTCAAGTTGCCGGGTTGTTAGGTCTTGAAGCTCCCGGTTCTGGGCTTCAAGCCTCTTCAGTTTTTCCTCCAGCTGAAGTGACCGGGAAGGGGAGTCCTCGGCAAGCCTCCCCAAGGTTTCAGGCCCAACCTCGCCCATCTTCAAAACGAAACGTACCGGTTAGTGCGACAGAAAAGTAACAAATTCAAGAGAATATACCGGGCGGATGTTACCTCTTTCAGCTTTCGCCCCATCTTGACTCAGAGCTCCTCTAGCGACTCTGTGGTCGGGACGCTTTCTCCCCTCCTCCTCTTTGCCGAAGGATGGGTGGTGGCGGCGTGCTTGGTTCGGACCTTCCCCTTTCGCTTGTCTAGGGGAGGGTTTACTGTGGTCCTCCCGGCCTGACCGGTCCTCCCGGTCGGAGGAGTTTCCTCCTCAGAGTTGATCTCCACCGGCTCCTGTTGCACCGGTACAGTTCTTGGGGCAGCAGAGGAGGAGCCGCCGGTCTTTTTCGTCGGGATGTTAAATGCTCTGAAGTTCATCTCTGTAAAACAAGCAAAAATATAACTCGAACATGGATCGGTGTATAAAAAGGAAGAAGGAGGAAGAGGAAGGGAGGATACCTGGGTGACTGGAACCCCCAGCTTCCGCAGTGTTGCCCGGGGCGGGTACCCCGTGCCCGGTTGCTTCGTCAGCCCTGGGGGTACCCGTGCCACCCGGTGAGATCCTCCAAATCCAAGCCCCGTAATGGAACATTTGCCCGGTGAACGGGTCCCCTTGTAGAAGTTTCTCCAAACTTTCTTCCAAGTCTGGAGCGTTAGCCGGCTCAGTGTATTGCGGCTTCAGGATATGGTCACTCCACTTTAAGCCGGCCAAGGGAGACGTGGTGGGAAACTTTATAAAAACAAATTTTTCCTTCCACAGCCGGTTGCTTTGTGGAAGGTCAGAAATGAATTGGCGACCGTTACGGCCCTTGAAGTAGACATAGCCGTCGCAACCCGACTTACCGGGAAGGACTTCAAACAAATAGAGGAAAAAGCGAAGGGAAGGATCGATTTTGAGATGGGTGCAGATATTTACAAAAGCATTAAGAAAATGATGGGCATTGGGCGTAAGTTGCCCGGGGAGGATCTTGAAACAGTGGCACAACTCGTCCAGAAGGGGGCGAAGGGGGAAGACGGTGCCACTCTCCAGGGAGATGATATGGAACCCTACCCTATCATCCCGGTGAGGCTCGATGATATTGCGCCAGTTAGGGTCGTATTCAAGGACATACCCCTCCGGGAGGTTCCTGCGTGCCTTATTTTGGGCGATTTTGGAAACATGGGGGTAGATGTCTGAAGGGTAACTAGTGGGGAGGGGGAAGTAACCGGCCGCTTCCAGCCGGTTCACCCATCCCTCATACGACTCGTTGTCAGGGTCATAGGGGGCCGGCTCATCGTTAACCGGTTCATCCCTCTCCTGAAAAACCTGACCGGGCATTTGGTTAACCGGCTGCGGTTCGGGAACGGTGGTGTTGGGAACCGACCGGTGTTCAAAATCGGGTGAAGATGACCCGGTGGAGGAGGAGGAAGAGGGGGATTCCTCGGATGCGTGGGCATCCAAGGCGGAAATATCCTGGCTGTCCGAGGAAGACATCTAGCGGGAGGAAAAATGGAGAATAAGGAAAGCTGAGGAAAAGAGGAGAGCTTACTTGGCTCGGAGGGCTGGAAGGCAGGAGAGAGGAGATTGACCGGTGAAACTCGGGAGACGCGCAAGGAAGAAGTGAGGAAGGCAATGGGGATAGAAGCCTTTATATAGGCGAGAAGGAAGGAGAAGGAGGCGACGTGGCTTCACCAGGGGGCGCCGCGTCAGGCGGCGCCATCATTACGCCTGGGAAGACGAAAGGGCGCGGGTCTGACGCCGCCCAGCAGGCCACACGTGTCATAACTGACACTTTTTGAATTTTGAAATTCAGACATTTCGAGCGGGAAAAGCCAAAATTCGAATCTAAAAGTCCAGTTTTAAATTTTTACTTCCCGCTTATGACAAAATTGCATAACCGAGAAGTGGAGGGCTTAATGATGGGTGTATTTCACCCATGACCAGTCAGAGATCAGAGCTAGATAGTCGGCTGGTCAAAAAGGTCGAACTTGAGAGAAAGGTCCATATCGGCGGCAAAGAGACGACGAGTCGAGTGCAAAGTTGACCGGTATACTTCGGATAGTATACCGGTCAACTTACTTAAGTCTGTGGAACCAATTTCCGAAGTCCATTAATCAACCCACGATGACCAGCCGGGGTAGTATTTCAAGGTCGACGAGTGTCGGCAGGAAGGATCCAAAATGACTTGGACTGTAGTGGTTGGCATGGCTGAGATGCTGGAGGAATATTTCCAAGCCAGAACGCGACAAGGAGGGTAATCCCCCTCGCAAGATGACAAGGTGGCTCAGGGACAGTCATAGCACCACATCAGCAGCATGCCCCCACGTGGGTGCACGTGGTCCTGTCCTCCCAGCTTAGTATATATACCTCATGTAACCCTCGAGGAAGGGGAATTCATTCTCTCTAAACTCTCTTGTAAAAGCACCCGTGCATTATCCGTTATAATATAAATTGGGCTACAGGTGTTCCACCTAAAGTCCCACCGGTCAATCTGCGCGTTTTTACCTTTCTTACTTTGCCAAATCAAGCAAACTATTCTAGATCCGGTCTAGTATAGCTTGACCGGTTAAGTAATTTATACCATCAACGGGATAAAGAGAGTTGTTCAAAATTAAAAAGATGAAAATCAAATTCATCTCTTTTCAAAAGAAGTCATGCTAGAAATCTATCAGGTTTGACACGAAAAGTTTGACACCAAGTACTACGTATTTTACAAACGTACATTCTCTTGTAAAATTGTTTTATTTACAAATTAGTACAAGAACGAAAAGTACTTCATACAATTTACATATTTGATATTTCAAAACTAAGTTTTATAAAAGATGCGATAAAAATATTTTATTTTATCAAATTATCAATAAAGATATACCAATAAGTAAGAATGATAAAAATAAGAATAGTACGTGACACAATAATTTTGATTAGGAGAGGGTATATACCGATTACCGACAATATTCTTCAAAAAATTAGTCGTATTTGAGACGGCGCACTAATTGCAAAACTATTTTCATCAATATTATTTTTCCAAGCAAACACTCCCTAGTTGAAAATGCAACAAGGGTAGAAATGGAATTTCAGATATTTTTAGGCCCCCCTATATCAGATCTACTCCCATTTACCAAATACCAAGTTACCAACCCCTTTGTCGGCATCATTCACCAAACTCGGAAACTCGAGACTTAAAAACAAGATAATAATCTAATTTGATTTGAACTAATATGAATAGTTCTCATGAAATATATTTTGTTTAATTATATACTTAGTATACAACTATTTCTGATTTAATCTAATTTGATTTGAACTAATTCCAATAAAAAAAGTATAAAGTAATAAAAATAAATTAAACAAAGCATGATCTAATATTGTTTGGAAAAAACATTTTCAATTATAATTGACGTTTTAAATAAAGTTTTATTGATAGAAATCAAGTTTAAAATTATTAAAATTAAAAAATGTTGTTAAATGATTTTCTCAAAATGCAAATTCTAACCTAGATGGAGGAGCAGAAAGGTATCGCAATTAAAAAATCGAGTAACACCATGCTAGATGTACACTACAATTTTGTACTAATATTTTGATAGTTTATATAACATAAAGTATAATACATAAGTTTGTTATGAAAAAAACATTTTGTGCTAGTGGAAACTAGGGATGGCAACGGGTCGGGTTCGGGTCGGATAGTACTATACCCGAACCCGACCCGACTTTTAAAACCGAAACCCGAACCCGACCCGAAACCCGACCTTTTAAGCCAAAAACCCGACCCGACTCGAACCCGACATTCCAACCCAAAACCCGAACCCGACCCGAACCCGATTTTTAACCAATAATCAATTCAATGTGCCCCAATAATTTTAAAAAGATTAAATCTAATTTTTTTGTGTCTCATTTTTTTTATTAAGGAATTATAAAAATGATTATAAATGGCATACTTGATATTGTAGCACTTTGTCAAGAGATTATACGGAGTGCTCATTATATCTATAGATAGGCTTTTATGTTATAAAATATTCGGGTTTGAGTCGGGTCGGGTTCGGGTTCGGGTCGGGTCGGGTAAAATAATAAACTCACACCCGACCCGACCCGATGTCGGGTTCGGGTAAAAAATTTCGGGTCGGGTTCGGATTATTTTATTCTCGCTTCGGGTTCAGATATTTTAGTGGTCGGTCGGGTCAGTTAAGCTCGGGTTCGGATTGAATTGTCATCCCTAGTGGAAACCATATGAGAGCAGTGCAAAGTAGTGGGATGTAAAATGGTGCATAAATAACATTTTTAAAATACAATCCTCAAGCAAAATGGAAATGGGTGTTTTTACGTCACTAGATCAGATCTACCAACCCCGTTTGGGGAATGGACCTATAAAAACCCGCTCTCCCCGCCTTGTAACTCGCGTCGGTCACTTGTGCTTCGTCTATCATCGAACGAACCTCGCTTCTTCCCACCTAAAGGTACGCTGGCTCGTTCGTATCGTTCGTTCCATCTCTCATTTCCTCTGCTTTATATGCTGCGAGTCCTGGTATTTGATTAAATTCACCTTCCTGAATTCGCCCCAAGTAGCTAGCTTTCATGAAATCTGCATCTTAATTCCAGCTTTTCGTTTTGTCGCACTTGTATATAGGCTCTTCATCTACTTGCAGGCGAGCGAGGATCTCTGCATCCCTGATCTGTTGTTTTATTGTTCGCGTATTGCCTCTTAGCATCAACTGACTTTAAAAAGTGTATGATCCGTTGAATTTAATGAATTAATGGGGGTCGGGGAGTAGATCTGGGAAGGTGCATGCCGGTTCTGTAGTGGGTTGTTATAGATCTGGATTGATGTTTTTTTTATGTTTTTTTACATGATAGATGAGCAGATGTGCGTTTAGTTTATTTATGGTTAACGTTTTGAAATGTTCTGACGTGCTTGCTTGCATTGTGATTGTTTATCCGAATATGGATCCTATTTATATGATTGATGGATCTAATGGATATGTTGCATTGTAAGCATGCATGCGAATGTGTATCATTTGCACTTTGAAAATTAAAATTGATTGACAGTTTTTGGATTTGTTCAAAAACCAGAAAAAAATGGCATCTCACATTGTTGGGTACCCCCGTATGGGGCCAAATAGAGAGCTTAAGTTTGCTCTGGAATCTCATTGGGATGGAAAGAGCAGTGCTGAAGAGCTGCAGAAGGTGGCGGCCGAGCTGAGGTCATCCATTTGGAAGCAGATGGCTGGTGTTGGGATCAAGTACATTCCCAGCAACACTTTCTCTTACTACGATCAGGTTCTTGATACCACTTCCATGCTCGGTGCAGTCCCTCCGAGGTACAACTGGAATGGCGGGGAGATTGGGTTTGATACGTACTTCTCTATGGCCAGAGGAAATGCCTCTGTGCCGGCCATGGAAATGACCAAGTGGTTTGATACCAACTAGTAAGTGTGATCATGTTGCATTCCATGTTCTTTTTATTGTGATGCACTCCTAGTTACTTAAATTTAATTAAGTTCCATGTTTTGATCCAGCCACTACATTGTCCCTGAGCTGGGCCCTGATGTGAAATTCTCTTATGCTTCTCACAAGGCAGTGACTGAATACAAGGAGGCTAAGGCGGTAGGATATGCAAATGCAATTCAATGTTTCATATGAATATTTTGAATTTGTTTCTTGATGATTGACATTTGATTGTGTTCCACATTCATTGGCGCAGCTTGGTATAGATACCATCCCAGTTCTAGTTGGTCCAGTATCATACTTGTTGCTATCCAAACCTGCCAAGGGAGTTGAAAAATCATTCCAACTTTTGTCTCTCCTGGACAAGATCATTCCAATCTACAAGTACGGATCTCAGATTCTGTATCAATCTTTTTATTATTATGAATTCCTTTAGACAGTGGTGTGGTCCCCTACCTTTTTGTAACAAAATTCAACCCTCACTGCAGGGAAGTTATTTCTGACTTGAAGGAAGCTGGTGCTTCTTGGATCCAGTTTGATGAACCCCAGCTTGTGTTGGATCTTGAATCTCACCAGTTGGAAGCATTCACTAGGGCTTATTCTGAGCTGGAGTCATCTTTTGGTGGCCTTAATGTTCTTGTTGAGACCTACTTTGCTGATGTCCCTGCCGCAGCATTCAAAACACTTACATCTCTGAAGGGAGTTACTGCCTTTGGTTTTGACCTGGTCCGTGGATCTAAGACCATAGACTTGATTAAGGGTGGGTTTTCTTCAGGAAAACTCCTGTTTGCTGGAATTGTTGATGGCAGGAACATTTGGGCAAATGATCTTGATGGATCCCTCAATATCTTGAAATCTCTTGAGGACATTGTTGGGAAAGGTAAGCTTCATGAAATTTGTAATGTCTTTTTTCAGTTTTATTACAAAAAAACAAAAACAATCTTTTATATCTGATATTGCAGACAAGCTTGTTGTATCTACTTCTTGCTCCCTTCTACACACTGCTGTTGATCTCGTGAACGAAACCAAGCTTGATGATGAAATCAAATCATGGCTTTCTTTTGCTGCCCAAAAAGTTGTTGAAGTAAATGCGTTGGCCAAGGCATTGAGTGGTCAAAAGGATGAGGTATAATTTCATTAACAAGTCATCTTGTTTCTAAAAAGACTTTTAAAAGGTTAATAGCATGTTCTATGTACGTAAGAAAAGCCTGCTACCAGCCAATCTTGTCTGGGTTATAAAAGGTATGATATGAGTCTACTGGATGTGGGTGCTTATACTTGTAAGATTTTATTTCCAGGCATTTTTCTCTGCTAATGCGGCTGCTCAAGCTTCAAGAAAGTCATCTCCAAGAGTTACTAACGAAGCTGTTCAAAAGGCTGTAAGTGATGATTTGAAGTTTATTCTTCTAATCTTTTTTCCTTTTTATAGGTAGTACCTCTAAAGAATGGTGAAGTATGTACTCCGTATAATTTTTTTTTCTTTTTTGTGCTCTCAGGCTGCTGCTTTGAAGGGATCTGACCACCGCCGCACTACAAATGTTAGTGCTCGGCTTGATGCTCAACAAAAGAAACTTAACCTCCCAATTCTTCCAACCACCACTATTGGTTCATTTCCTCAGACAGTGGAACTTAGAAGGGTTCGCCGTGAATACAAGGCCAAAAAGTGAGCTCTATTGTAGTTTTTATTAACATCTTATTATGACACTTGAAAAGCTGTCTTCTGATAATTGACACTTTGTATTATAGGATTTCTGAGGAAGAGTATGTTAAGGCCATCAAGCAGGAAATTAGCAATGTTGTTAAGCTTCAAGAAGAGCTTGACATTGATGTCCTGGTTCATGGAGAGCCTGAGGTTAGCAAACATTATTTTGCTTTAACCCAAATTTTTTAAAGTTTGCCATAGTAGCTCCTGTTTTCTTGCTAAAACCCTAAAACTGTATTTTCTTATGTTTAATATATGACAGAGGAATGATATGGTTGAGTACTTCGGCGAGCAACTTTCTGGCTTTGCCTTTACTGCCAACGGATGGGTTCAATCTTATGGATCTCGGTGTGTGAAGCCACCCATCATCTATGGTGATGTGAGCAGGCCTAACCCAATGACTGTCTTCTGGTCCAGTACTGCTCAAGGCATGACCAAGCGCCCGATGAAGGGAATGCTCACTGGCCCGGTTACCATTCTCAACTGGTCCTTTGTCAGAAATGATCAACCAAGGTGTGTGTGTGTGTGTGTACATTTCTAGTAGAATTTCATTTGTGAAGTTCTTGATCGATTCTAACTTTGTATTCGCAGATTCGAGACCTGCTACCAGATTGCTCTGGCTATTAAGGACGAAGTCGAGGATTTGGAGAAGGCAAACATCAATGTGATTCAAATTGACGAAGCAGCCTTGAGAGAGGGGCTCCCTCTTAGGAAGGCAGAACATGATTTCTACCTGAAGTGGGCTGTCCACTCCTTCAGAATCACCAACTGTGGGGTCCAGGACACCACCCAGATCCACACCCACATGTGCTACTCCAACTTCAACGACATCATTCACTCCATCATCGACATGGATGCTGATGTCATCACGATCGAGAACTCCCGCTCCGACGAGAAGCTGCTGTCGGTTTTCCGCGAGGGAGTGAAGTACGGTGCCGGAATCGGGCCCGGCGTGTACGACATCCACTCTCCCAGAATACCGTCAGCCGAAGAGATTGCTGACAGAGTCAACAAGATGCTTGCAGTCCTCGACACCAACATTCTGTGGGTCAACCCTGACTGTGGACTCAAGACCCGCAAGTATACCGAGGTGAAACCCGCCCTTGAAAACATGGTTTCTGCTGCCAAGCTCATCCGAACCCAACTTGCCAGTGCCAAGTGAAGTGTCGCCACAGCCTCCTCCTATCTATCAACTTCTCCCAACCACTATTACTAATGCACGAGTACTCTAGTGCTTTGTTAATCTCTGTTTGTGATGATTAAGATGTTTTGCTCTCTAGGTTCCTTATCAGCATTTTTTTTTTCGTCCTAGATTTCATTTACAATTTTGAAAAGGTTTTATTTCCTGTACTTTTGTGAGTTTTACTCGAGTGCTTTGGGTCATTTTTATTTGTATTCTCTCTGTGCTTTTCATGGCTGTAAGCAACACAATATTGTAATCCCGCATACAAATAAAAGCCTTTTTACTCTTTGATGATCATTCCGTCCTATTAGTTTATACGGAGTATTAGTCGGTGTATTAAATCAGGATTCTGATAAATCTTTTTGGATTTTTAAAAGTCATTTAAAATCTGAATGTATTCAATTCAAATCTTAAAAAATTATTCTAAAAATAAATATGATGATATTAAAAAATTAAAAGATTTTCAATAATGTGGATTTTCAGGCAACAAGCTTATCTTGTCCTTTCTTTGATCTCTAGGCGGCAACAAACTGGTCCTCCGGGAGTCCGCAGTGGCGGCAGCTGGCAGTCGGCAAAGCGGCAATGGAACAGAGAGGAAGAGGATGAATCAATGATGATTGAATGGATGCAGATGTTGGCGATTGTCTATTGGTACGCAGTGGACTTTGATTATTGAATCGATGATGATTCATAAATCAAGAGGATGAATAGACAAGGTGGCTCAGACTTCTAGGTTTCCATTCCAGATTTCCCGTGGAGGCTTTCAATTTTGGATAGAAATCCACATAAATTAATAAAGAAAGTACACCATACCCTAAATATCCCCACCCCCTCCTTGTCCACTAAAAAAGCAAAAAAATTTAAAAAAAAATAAGTAAATAAAAATAAAATAAAAATGTGTGAAGAAAAGGAGCGTGGTGTACATTTGGGGTACACCTTTTGGTGTACCCCTAGCATTACTCATTAATAAATGAGTCTGGCCAAAATCTACGTAAATCAATTAAAAAGTAGGTCAAACTTTGTATGGAGTATATGGATTTTCTAAATCTTTCGATTTTTTAAGGTTCAAAAAAAATATTAGAAAATCTCAATTGAGTACACCCACTTTAGAAGACAACACTACATGCATTGCTTAAGTTAAAGGAAGCTATATCAAAGGAGACCGAACAAAGTATATATCACCAAAGTTCTTGTCAACAGTCAACATGATCTCGAGAAAGCGTTGCCCTAGAAGAAGTTTGAAGAACTTGTACACAAGATTGACATGCATCGCCTCTATCAATTATGCTAAACTGAGAGGGAGAATTTTATGCATTGTACTCTTTTTTCATTGATCGGGTTTTTATCCCACCGGGTTTTTCTTGACATGGTTTTTGCGGTACATAAAATTAAAATGAGTTTCAAAACTATGCCCATTTCACAAAGTACCCACCACTAATTGAAAAATGAACACTCAAGCGGAAGTATTGTGAAATAGGTGAATTGTTCATCTATTCAATTAATCATGATAAAACTCAATCACTAGAGTTCAATAATATCTTCTTAGGTGTATTAATTAATTATATATTATCAACTAGCAAAAAAAATGTATAGCTCATCCCCCACTTGTAGAAGTGTTTAATTTAAATTGTACTACCTCCGTCCTAGACTATTTGTCCAATTTGACTTTTTCGAGTCAAACTGGACAAACTTTAAACTCCAATTGCTCTCAATTTGTATTACATATTAGCATAATGAAATATAATTTTGAAAGTTTTCAATACGATAAATCCAATAAAGTCATTTTTATATTAAAATACTTTACGGTTTTTATTTAATTGAAGCTCAAAGTTTGTCCAGTTTGACTCGAAAAAATCAAACTGGACAAATACTCTGGGACGGAGTGAGTATTAGTCTTCCTCTTAAGCCGCTATATTATAAATAGAGGCTTACTTTCCTGCAATTAATACCATTAACACTACGAAGATGAGAAATATCAATATAGAGAAGAAATCAGAAATATATCATATACCCCGTATATCTTCATAATCTCTAACTAGTATCACACACGTGCATTGCACGGGTCTCTTTTTATGTTATTAAATTCAAATCATTTTTCAATGATAAAAAATGAGATGCAATAGAATATAGAGATTATATTATTTTAAGGTACAAAACATCACTGTTTTACAAATTTCGGAAGACTTCTTTATAGACTAAATTATTTGTATAATTTGTCGGAAATACTAATTGCATGTAAGCCTTGTTTATCTCATTTCCAGTAGTCTAGAACGACCACAAAGGAAATAAATACTAATTGCATTTAATACCTAAATTAGTTACGTACTCCCTCCGTCTTTGAGTATTTGTCCACTTTTGACTTTTTTCGGTCAAAATTGATAAACTTTGACTTCAAATTAAATAAAAATGATACTAGATATTGATACAAAAAGTTTTTTATTAGATTTATTATATCAAATATTTTCAAAATATTATTTTATTTAATTAAAATATAATATATATTTTATTTAATTATAGGTCAAAGGTTGAAAACAGTTGAACAAAAAAAATCAAAACTGGACAAATACTCAGGGACGGATGGGCGGGAAAACCAAAATAATAAAAGTAAGTTTACAATGAAGGTAAGTAGAAAACATAGAAGTAATAAAAGTAAGTTTACAATAAAAGGAAGTTTACAAATGTCACGTTAGTATTATTATTATTTCTTTATAATCACGTTTGGTAAGTTTTTAATAATTATTATTATTAAAAAAGGAACTGTATTAATACTGAATTATTTGCCTAATTATTTATTATTGCTTAATCGTGTAGTATTAATTGAATCAATTGCCATAATTAGGTTGGCGGAGGCCATTATTGTTTTTTAAAATAGAAATCATCCTAAATAGGACTAAAACATAGAGAAAAGTACCAAAATAGGACTTTCATGTTTTTTTTTTGAAATAAGACTTTGCACTGTGGTAATGTGACTTTGCATTGTGGTAATGTGGCAGTGTACATGTGCAAATTACTATACTTTTTTGGTAATGTATATGACCATGTTTGGTAATGTAAGTCCTATTTCGGGAATAAAAACATGGAAGTCTTATTTTGGTATATTTTCAATGTTTTAGTCCTAGTTTGGTCTTTCTCCCTTTTAAAAAAAACTGTAATTATACCGTATTATTTGCCTAATTATTTATTATTGTTTAACCGTGGAATATTAATTGTAATTGACTCATTACCATTTTAAGTGAACAATTGTCATTTTTTATTGCAATACCAAATGGGTGGGAAAACCATCTCACGCATCCATGACTTTTTAAATAAAGTATGGATTAATTTTTTCCTCATTCTATAATTTATTGGTTGATTTTCACGAAGTTTCAAAAAATGTTGAAAAAAATAAAAATCCGAGGCGAAATGAAAAGGGGCTGCACTAAGAACATTCACATTTCTCTCAATGGCACGATTCAATTTATATCGAACAAAAAGAATTTGATTCAAATCCATAAGAAAACCATAAACAGACGCCAAGAGATCAACAAAAAACAATGGTGATAGAAATCAACAAAGAAGATGGGTTCCAACCACCAAGAGAAACTCTCATCCAACATTATTTGAGACCTCTCCCAATCACCACAGCAGGATTTATTTAAGTGTAAACACATGCCGCAATGTGCAATTGATACTATGTAGCACGTAGCAATGCAAACTAGAAAGAAAATTACACCATTTTCATAAATGTAATAGCATGCTTGTACAAATCTGTAATTCATGTGCAGATGAACTCAAAACTTTCAATATAGATCGATTGATTCAAGGACCCGACGAGCTTGAATATGGAGAGCTGTTAAGCGTTGTTCAGTATCAAGGGTGGAGCCCAACTGGCTAGCTGCCCATATCAATGAAGCTGATTTTTCGCCGAGGAACCTCCTTACATCATCATGTATTGTTGCCATGGGCAATTTATCCCTCCCCCCGTTCACATGCCCTATTAGAAGCAACAGAAACTCTCCACATTTCAACCTGGTCAAAAAAAATAGTTGGGGAAAACATGCTCAATCAGAGATGATCGGACTAGACTCACGAAATGTATAAATATCGGATGGAAACCCTAAAGACTACCTTAGATTTTCATCAACTTGTTTGTCTCTTATTAGTAAAGCCACCTCCTCTATGCCATTGCAAGCCTCAAAATCCTGTAAACATCACCAGGAAATAAACATCTATGATCTATCTGTCATCTTTATGCTCTTCAAATGGTAAATCACCAATCATGCTTAACTGGAACCCTCCCACTAAATAACTTGGGCCCGAAATATGATTGCAGATTATAGAGGCAATAATTGGGTTTTTTTTAGGGAGG